TATATATATTTCAAAGAAATGGTCAGAGGCAATTATATCAGTATTCAACCACCCCTAATGTGCCTAACAATTTGAGTACCAACTTTTTAAGATCAGCTGTGCCAGAGAGGATTCGAACTCTCAAACTGAGGGATCTTATACCATGGATGTCAACCAACATGAAATATAAAGTTATTAAATAAAATCTATTATTTACAATCATGCACATTAAAGATGGTCGGGAATCAGGCCATATCAAGATTTATTCTTATAAAATTGTAAATTTTGCTGATGACCAAAGCCTGCTTCTGTGCTTGAATCAGCAGGTAGTTGACTAGTTTTTTCATTGTTCTTACAAGGTTTATGTTGCAATTTCCAAATGACGAAAATCTAGTTATAGCTTATGATTGCTCGTGCGTAAGAAATATATTTTTGATAATATTTAATTTATTTTAATTGCTTGAGATATTTTAGAAGTATTTGTAAAGCTGAAAATTAATATTAATTTATAATTATATCCAATTAAATAATAAAATCCAACACTGTTCTTCCGCTTCACTCCGCTCCTGGCTCGCTCTGTTCGGCTCCAGCATCTGTCCTTTATCTGGTATATGAGCTTTCCTTTATCTATAGTATATGAGTCATACCTAACAGAAATATTATTATAACATAGAAGTAAGGAGTAGACAATTTTGATCATATAGAAGCTATCTTTTGAGTTTGGTATATAATTACTAATCTTTTTCTTTAAAGCATTGTGGTTGCTTCATCTAAGCAAAATTCATTTTTGATAGATTAAATGTGCGCAATGTCTTATTATACACCATCAAATCAATTTTCAATTAATAAAATGCAGAAAATTAAGATTTTTTTTTCATACATTATCCCCAAGTTCTGAGAGAGTCGTATTAGGTGCGGGCGCCGAAACTATAGCTAACCATTTCAACCCACAAGAGGTCTTTTTTTTTCTCGGCTCAATCACTGCTGCTCAATCACTACCATTGTTCGCACCTTCCGCATTAGTAGGCAATATTTTTTCTGTTCTAAGGTCCTCAACATCATGTTTCATGAACTACATAAATTTCACGTTTAATAGATTTTGTTTCTTTCTATGGTATAAATTTTCAATAATTTAAAACTTTCTAAAATATAGGCTAATTGAATTAAAAAATTTCTTCTTTGATTGATAGACTATATATACAATATTACTTTATTTATCTCACTTTATAAGCTCTAATAAATAAAATATAAAGTCATTTGCTCAAAATTTGAGAAAATTTTTATTTGGCTAAAATAAAATATATCAAAATCTTGGGTCCAAACTTAACTATTATATTAGAAACTTAAATAAATTTTATGTCAATGACATGAAGAGCTTCAATACATATCGATAACAATCTATTAATTTGATTAAAATTTCGAGAAAAGGCTAATTTTCATTCGGATACCATCTAGCTTAAAGTAATAAAGATTTTATGCATGGTTAGTGCTCTACTCTCGCTCGTCGATTTTCATGGACAGGAGAAAATATCCGGACAACCATATGGATCGCACCATGCTGCTGTACAAATGGTGTGGTGTGATCCATGCCATTGTCCAACTCCTCTTTATTTTATGAATTTGCATCACAATATGAGTTACCAAACTTTAATATAACTAAAAATAAAACATTCAATCAAATAGAGAACCAAAGCTTTTCTTTCTGCCATCATTGGATAAATAAGAATGAAGTATGAAAAGATTTTAACACGGTCGCCAAATTCCAAAACGCAAGCCAGTACAAGAAAGACAAAAGAATAAAGCCTCAGGGCACCTCTTTAATGAGAAGACAAAAAAATAAATAGGGAAAAATTGCATACAAACCACACAATTCCTTCTTATTTACATATCCAACACCCAACGTTTCATATTTACATTTACAACAATTTGATACATATCATGAATCTATGCATGCATGATCAAGAAGTTAATGGTGATGATATTTTTGTTGTAAATATGAAATTTTGGGGGTTAGATATATAAACTTATAATTAGAAATGTGTGTTATGCATTTAAAAGCCACCCCCCAATAAAAAACAGATTAACAAATAGAGTCCTAATAGGACTCTAATTCCTCAATTTAAGCATGCTTAGCAGTAGGAAAGGCCAGGAAGCAAGTTGCCAACTTATTATCATTTCACATCGGCCAAATCATTTTGAAAGACTATATATATATATATATATATGCTGTTATTTTCTGATATTGAAGACTTTTGCCGATTTTTATTGTGTTTAAAGATTGTAATCTCTGTTTATACTATCTGGAGTGTTGTATCATCTTCCTTCTACAAGTGATGTGTATGCATCTTACTCAAGAACAGCTGGAATATATGTGAACATATTATCTGGTAGGTATCACTCATATATCAGGAATTTGGAATCTCTTGAATTTGGAGAGGTGTGTCTTTTAGTGTGAAGAGGTGTGTCTTTTAGTGTGAAGAGGTGTGTCTCTTGGATTGGTGGGTTGGGGGGAGCGAGAACGTGTTCGTAATTTATCTCTAGGTTTTATCTATAAATAGATGTGTAACCCTATGGGTATAGAACTCCTCTGAAGTCTCGTTAAATCTATGTTCTTCTTCTGGTTTTGTGTCGATTCCTATTTTTCTTCTCCCTAAATTTCATAACATTATCTATTCCAATTGAAATTAAATCAAATTCATATTAATGAAAAGTTTGTTTTAAGAAGATTATTTAGATCTTCAAGGTATTTTACACATGATACTCATGCATTATAAGTCCTATATGAAAGAAAATGATAAAGCAGAAATGGTCGACAGAATCACATAAAGAAAAAAGTAGGAGAAGGATGGCAGAATATGACAAACTGCCCTCCACGCAATCACGACTCATCAATAGAAGAATCAGCAACTTGTAATATTCAGTGTGTATTCATATTGAAACGTGAACACATAATACATAATACAGATTGATTCAGTCTGATTAGTTAAGAGATTGCTATTTCGAAATTTTAATTATATATATCCATATATTTATAATTTTTCAATAATTTTAATACTCTTGTGTTTACATCTTGAATCTTTTCTTGCATCTATATATATATATATATATATATAGATGGATAGATAGATATGTCATACACTACCTATTAAAACTATAACTATCGTTCATTTGCTTCATCATCATTTGCATGCATCTACCTCAGCAGAAAACCTTAAAGTTCTCGAATAAAAACTAATAAAAGAAAGAAAGAAAAACTGTATATTTTAAATTCCTTCTAATAATATCGAACTGTCTCGAAATCTAAAAATACATATTTCGTAACATAATTAAGCAAAGATATAAATATATAAATAGAATCTAGACCTGCAAGTAGTGTATCTTCATGGGTGGCTGCTTTTAATAAATGATGGCATGATATCCTGTAGAAGAGCTCCATAGTTAGGGATCTGAAGCTGCTGCGAAGGAGACGATAGGGTTTGCAGGAACCCATATCCGGAGCTGGTGGACCCCAATTGTGAAAGTTGTTGGCCAAACAGTTCGGTTCTGAAGCTCTGCATCGCCATGGATGAAGTCTGATTCGCCAGCAAGTGGGAGCTTCCTCGAACATTTGCCGGACAGTGATGAGTGTGCTGGCCTTCATATGTCGTGATCACGATCGAAGGGTCCTGATTCGATCTCTCCACTCTCTTCTTCACCGTGCACTTCTGTGTCGTGCAGCGGTAGTAGCTCCTGCATGCAATATATGTTGATTCAGGATTAGTTTTTCATTTTATATGTTTAGTTTATGAGCTTATATGTTAGACCTTGGATAAGGGCTGTTCTTCACTGCCTTTTGGCCGTATTTCCTCCATCTATAGCCATCTTCAAGATGATCCACTTCGCTTTTGGTCATAAAAGCAAAACGTGGCTCTCTTTGCCTCTTCTCCCCCTTCTTCTTTGCCCTGCTGCTGTGAATTATAAGAAATTAAAACAGTAATTTTTACTCAGCTAAAATCATGATCATAGATAGTTGTATTAATTTTAAAAAAGGAAAATGGTATTAGATCTACGCATATAGAGGATATATAGTTATTTAAATAATGTTGCGGAATCCAGATCTTAAGATCTGTTGAATCTATAATACTTAAACAGAGGATTAATTAATTAAGTTAATCGGAAAATTAGATCCATAAATTTTCACGATCTTCTTTGCATATAGAAGAAAGTTGAGCTTTTGAAGCTAGATTGCTACCCTATTCTTTTAGTAAAGGTGACAAATTTTAAAAAAGAAGGAGAAGAAAAATTCAATCTTGCTAAATCATAAGAAGAAAAAATTAAAAATATATTGCAAAAATATAATTAATAACCTACGTATTCTTATCCTTCTGTCCACCATTCTCTTCTTCACCGGCTACTTCGTCTTTTTTACTGCCGCCGGAGTCTTCTTCCCCGGCCACCTCGATGGAGGAGGAAGACGGAGACGAGTTAGCGGTGGCCGGTAAAATCCCGACGCTGCCCGCAACAGAGCTGTTTTCATTAGTTCTAACACCGGATATAACTGCTTCATCACTCTCCAATTTCATCTCTTTACGAAGCGGTCCGAAAGCTTCATCTTTTGCCGAGAAAGATAAGTCGAAAGCTTTGGAAAGCATTCCATAGTCAGCAGAGCTCTGCAGAAATTCCGTAAAACCTGCATAAGGTAGGGATGGAGCGCCGAAATCTTGAGGATCGCCGGAACCTCCGCCGGAGTGGTGAGAAAAGAATGAGTAGGGATCATAGAAGTTTTCAAAATGAAAACTTTCCTTCTTATCCCCAGACATGACGTTAGATTGAATAAGAAAAATAAAGTTTTTGGAGGAGAAAGAGAGGGAAGGAGCAAGATGAAGGAAGGAAGAAGCCTAATGGCAGCAAGAGGCGAATTTTGGTCTTTAGACTGGTGGGTGGGGGGGCAGGCTAATGGGACGACTTTAGGGTGCACATTAATGATTTATTTTATTAAAATTTTGTTTTTTATACGTTGAGTTTCATTATTTTGCATTAAGAAAATGAGGAATACATATAAAATAAGAGTACATGAGAATGAAGGGCTAGTAGTCTACCTACCATTACAATAATTAGTTCTCAACAGTCCACGGTCACATGAGAAGCTGGCAATGACCTTCATTAAAATACATTACATTATTAAATCATTTTAAATTATAAAATGACTATATATATATATATATATATATATACATACATATATATTGATGTATTTATTCGTGTCATGATCAAAACATTAAAAATTTGATTAAAAATATAAAATATTGTTGATAAATTTGGGCGAAGAAAAACATGAATCGACACAAATCCAGAAGAACACAAAGAGATTTAATGAGGTTCGGCAGAGATACCTACATCATCGGGAGCAAAGCAGTTGTTTTTCCAATAATCCAAAAAAAAGTACATGATACATAATAAAATAACTTATGGTTACAAACAAAACTATTTATAACCCTAGAAAGAGCAGAAAAGGAAAGCATTAATACAATATGTAATTACCAAATTACACATGTACCGCACCCCCAATCCATATAAGGAAACTCCCCTGATTTGGACAGAATCTTCCGCTCCACTCCAACATCTGTCCCTTATATGGTATATGAGTCAATCTAACAAACAACCATTATATAAACTAAAATTTTATCATGAATTTTAACATTTGATTTAACAATTGATTGAGAATCTGAAAATTGAATTAAAAAGTGTTAGGCTTATAAATAATGATGTTTAGCGTGTTGTACGAAATCGCCTCTCATATTTTATCGATCAAAAATATAATTTAACTTTGAAATTATAAATTATTATTATTATTATTATTTTATTTTTTTTCACATTTGCAGCGGCCAGGATTTCAAAAGGTTGCTTCTCCCCGAAAGGATTCGACCGACACGTGTTAAATGGTATGCACCGTCATTTGACCGGCTAATTCCACGTGGAATAAAATACCATGTCGAAGACCAGTATAAAACCCACGAGCCACATGGAGAAGATTCGCACCGCCGGCGATGTGGCGTTATCTGGCCGGGTCACATCGCCGGAGCAATCATTCCAGCGATGCTGGGCCGTGGGATGGCGATCGGATGGTGGAAAGATTGGGTGGATGGCGCCGCGCATTACGGCGGGCGGGGCCCGTCGGCGGAGAGCCTGGTAAGTGTGAAATGTGAAGTGGATTTGGCGGTGGAGACCGAGGAGGGTGAGGTGTCGCTGTTGAACCGGTCGATGGAGGTGCTTTGCGTTCGCCCGAACAATTTTTCGTTTGATCGAGGGCCATAAAATGCGGGCCCCACGTGAATTTGAACGTGTGATATTTAAATGTGGGGACCAGTGAGAAACAATTTGTATAACTTTTTTTGAGGATATTGAAATATAATACTTGATTTTTAAGGTGTATATATGCACATATCATTTAGCCTTTATGTATTTACGCATAAAATGCTTAAACTTTAATATTTACATTATTAGTACTCAAATTTTGAATTTTAGGCGGTGCAGTACCGCATCGTAGTTTTTTCTATTTAGTTTGTGTTTTGTTTGCATTCTCAAAAGACTCCAGCTGAAAATTACAGTTTTTCATCAAATTTGATTACATGTGGTGGGTGCTAGAAAACTGCTGTCTAATTTACTTAAACGTTTTTTTATTATTTAATGGTCACCTCAGTTTTTGAACGGAAGATTTTTTTTAGCAGTTTCACAGTTGTTTCTTCAAACAGGTGCAGGTGTCTCACACAAATTCCGAGAAGATTATTTTTCTTATTTAACAGTCATATGCATATGTCATGCATGAATTTATAACAATAAGATGTTAGAAATGTAAATATCAAAATTTATGTGTTATGCATGTAAATCGGTAGAAATTATGTGTAATTATGTAAATTTTCCAATTATTAACAAGCTCATGGGTGTAAGGATTTGCATTAGAAAGATACGAATCTCAACGGCAAATAAGTGGGTATAAATTCATCCCGTTAGAAATTTGTCAGCCCTCATAAAATTCGTGCATGAGCAGTAACATTTAGGGGTGTAAACGAACCGAACATGAACGAACAAAGTTTGTGTTCGTGTTCAGTTCGTTTAAAATTTAGTTTGTTTGAAATAAGCTCGTGTTCGTTTCTTAACGAACGAGCCGAACACGAACCGATATATAAAAATAATATTATATATTAATTATATAACTTATATTATATAAATATACAATATCTATATTAGTATATTACTACTATAGTATATTAATATATTATTATTATTATTTTATTATATATTATAATTTATAAAATTTAATGTTTTAAAATATAATAAATTTTTTATATATAATTATTTTATATTATTTTATATTTCAAACAATAACGATTCGAACACGAACGAACGCATCACTGTTCATGTTTGGTTCGTTTAACTAACCGAACGAAAAAAATTTGTTTGTGTTTGTCTCGTTTACTTATCGAACGAATCGAACACGAACTCATTGACGAACCGAACACGAACTGTTCGCGAACAACGAGCTTTTTTGACAGCCCTAGTAACATTCACATATACTTAATCTGCTATTTGATTTTTTAGCTCTAAAATTTGAGTAATTTGCAAAAAGTATACTATTTATAAAAGTACCATCTAAAGTGTTGGAAACTAAACTATTTGGTATGGCTCATATGATAAGTGGAATGGAGCGAGCCAGCAGAGCTCGCGACCGGAAGCATCTGTTCAATCAGGGAAGTTACGTTAGGCAGGTTGGGAGTGCGGGGGCAACGCCACCGCGGTACGATAGAGGGGTAATTTTGTAATTACATATTGTACTGTAAGGTTATATATATGTCTTGTTTTGTAACCCTAGGTATATTCTACATTCTTTTCTGAAATTAAAAGAAAGTTGCTGTTATGCTCTCGATGACGTAGACATCTTTGTCGAATCACGTTAAATCCATGTGTTTTCTTCTGAATTTGTGTTGATTCTCGTTTCTTTGCCCTAAATTACTCAACATAAACCTTATGTGAATATCATCAAAAAAGGGTACAAGAATATGTGTGCCTTACATTTTTCATGAATTATTAAGAATGTAAAACCTGATTTAATTTAAATTTGGGCTTAGAGTTTTTATAGTTGCAAAATATTATAATTATATTGTTTTGATATTATGCCTATGAATACTCTAATCAAGGATTGACTTTGTATTATGGATAAATGAAATTTGCCATCTTATGTCTTGGATCTCCCAAGGTTTTCCCTTGGCATAAAATTTAGCATTTTATAGCTAAGGGTTAATCACCTTATTTATTCATTATATGGAAATAGAACATAAGATGTATAGTCTAGCCAACTTATTAAGGAGTATCACTATGAGCATAAAATAAGAATTCATTAACGATTTGGGCTTATAACTCCATACATAGTGTGGCATGAAAGATTTAAGTTTCTCTTTCATACGAAAAACTTGTGAGTCGTGTGATTTGATCAACGTGATTGATCATCTCTAACCGAGTAAATTGGAAATATTCTCTTAAGAGTAGCTCAAGGCTAATATGAGTATGTGAAAAGGGATATGATATTTTCTCAAGAGAATAAAATGTTTAAATAGACTTACAAAGTTGATAATGAATTAATAATCTTGATAAAAAAGTAGGGACAAAAGTGCTAATAAAAAATTTTCCCTTGATATAGAATAATAAAAAATTAGATAGCTCTCACCCTTTACTAAAGGGCGTTGCAAGAAGAACTGAAAGATATTGACTAATTTTTACAATTATATGTATAATATGATATTGGCTTTTAAGGGAAAATACATATTTACATTGCATTTATTTGAAAGCTCTGACACAAATCAAATATTTTGAAACATCGATGAATCACACAAGTATATGTCATATAAGTCGTATACGAAACATAGTTCGTGTATCGATTCCATGAAGAACGAACGAACTCTCAATGTTTGAAGATGTTCTAACTTCTTGGATTCGAGTCTGGCATAAAGATTCGATTGTTGGTGATTTGTGAAAGTATCAACATGATTTTTACAAAGAGGGAAAGTCCTAATTTAAATGTGTGAAGTAATCAAAAGAGTGAGAATATCTTCTCTGATTTGGATTCTAAAAGCTTAAGATTAACAAAGTGATAGAATGAATAGTGACACTCATGAGCAATTTTCTTTATTAGCCTCTATAGATGACAATAAGAAAGTTTGAACATCAAACCAATTTAATTCCCTAAATCAGGTGAGAACCCCAAGATTGTGTATTTTCCTACAGCATTGCACTTACCTAAGAGCAATATCACTATTGTTCTAAGTTCACGTGTTTAAACACTTACCTAGTTGTTTTACTAAGGATTCTTTTGAAACTTAAATTTCACAATAATTTTTAACAACTCAATTGACCATATTGAATGTAAATGAAGATTTAAATGTTAAAACCACCACAATAAAGTTTCATTCAAGTCGCATGAACAAAATTAAATTCTAGAACTTTTACTCACCAAATTAGAGAAGAAAAGTATCTTAATTACCAATCATGCTTTCAAGCAACATGTAACAAATTTACTAATCAAAGTATGCAACTTACACAAGTTGACAAAGAAAAATCAAGAAAGTATTGCATCCTTAGTTGCAAATTCGTTCTCATCTACCTCTTCATGGTTCCTAATGATCACTAAGTCTCTCGAACTAACTTTAGAAACTCAAAATTTAATCAATTATGGGAGGAAATGAAGAATCAACATATTAAGAGATATATAGGCACTTCATTTAGCGCATTAGATCATAAGAAGCTACAATAGCTAGCCTATTGGGTTGATTGCTTTGATGTAAAGAACATGTAAGCAAGAATGTAGTGTGGATGTAATGGATTAAGGCACGTGAGTCTTAAATCACCACCAATATTTATAATATACTTATGAAATTTGAGTATTTATCCTTT